ATTATTACTATTATTAATTCACTTATTTTGTCAATGAGTCATTATTCGAAACAAAATGAAGATTATTTCGTGAAATTTGGAGAATTTGTTTGAAATGGGAACTCGCATTTAACAAAATATAATATATGCGATATTTGAAAAGACAAAAAATTGTGTTCAACGACAATTTGATGAGAGCTTGCAGAATTTTAAGAAACAGGAACAACCTATAAGAAAAAATTAACAAAATGCATGAAGCGATGCATGAAAATACCAAAACAGCAAATGTCTCATTCATTTGCTAGTCTCATTAAAAAACAATCACTTTAATTAGTACCATCTTCAAAGTGATAGAACAATTATCGTTAAAATCACAATTATTTTAGAAGTTGCGCAGAGCGAAGAAAAATTCGGCGGAAACAAGTTCTTGAATTGAAATATTGTGCGGTCCTCCGATAAACAAAATGAAGTCAGTAATTGAATCAACGCTCTTGAGCAAATCAACTCCATTCTCGTCAAAAACTGTAATGTTGGAAACATTCCTCTAAATAAATATTGACAACGAAAGCAATATAGTCAGTTTACGATGAATAACCGAGCACTTGAAAATGGATAAAATTTTGAGACAAAATAAAAACTTTCGAACGACAACAAGCTGGATGCTTTAGAGATATCATAGTTTTCAAGCAATTGGTGGAAAAACATTGAACGGATAGTGCAGAATACCGACGTTTCTCGAATGGATCCGTACAGGTTCTCGGAATGATCACATGCAACTTCAGGTAATCGAGGGAAGCAGAAATCAGTCCAAAATAATGTCTTCAAAAATTTCTGAATTAAATTCAGTTCCTCCATCTCGCATTGCTCACTGGTGATCTTACGAACCCAGATGATTCCAAGCGATCACATCATACGGCATAAGGAACTTCCCATGCACTGATCAATGCAATAAGCTCCAAACAAAAAATTCAGCAACTTTATAGTATCAAATGCTGATAAATAATAACGACGTATAATATTATATTGTATATGCTGTAAATCAAATTAAATGAACGCATAATATAAACAAACAAGGATTGTATTACAGCAATGAAATGAATTTAATACATTCAGTTGTGTCAATCCAATTCAGTATGGAGTGGTGGGCGACCTCTTTATGTCCAATGCAACAATTAATCATTCCGTATGATTTCTTATCGATACCACACTGATACCGAACTTTAGCGGGATGACACCACTGATATCTCTCAATATTCGGATTTTAATTATTGTTCTGTCAAGGAGAATCCAGATAAATCGATAGTAACAAACAAATAACAACGACAAATAATCTTGACACTATCAATTGCCGTCAAAGATTTCGTTAAGATGATTCATTTGAGCACTGCGAGTGCTATGTTCAAATGTTGATCTGATGATGACTGACTTGGGTGTGGAAGAGTCATGGTTTGGGATAGATTAATAGAATCAATAGAGATTATGATAAATTCGCAATAACCGGTATTTGACATGTTTCGAAAAGGAATTTTTCGGTGAATTAGAAATTATCATGACAAACGCATTTCACGAACAAGTCCACATTGAAACAATGAGAGTTGTGTTGAACTCTTGTTGACTCACATTGTATCTTTTTACCAATCCAAATGAATTTTACTGGGTGTGCTCAGAAGAGAAATCTCTCTTTCATTTTTCTCACTTACATCACGACTGATGAGCATAACGATCGGAAGTTTTTTGCACAACATCGATAAATACTCTTCAACACTCGAAAACTTATTTACATTCTCTTCAGAAACGATTACCGTTTAGCACATCATTAGTTCCATACTTCATTATTCTCATTATGATCATTCAGANTCGGAAAACTGAATTTATTAATGATCGGCATTTTCAGTGACTAATCGTGTCATCAAAAGCTGATTAATTGTTGGTTTTTCTAACAAACAAATCTCATTCATACTTCCAAACTTCTTCACAAAGAAGTGAACGATATCTCACGTCACAGGTGTTTTCACTCCATTAGTTCTTCATGAAATTTCATTTCGTAATCCAGATGAAACATTGCGGTTTGTAGACGAAATATAACATTCACTGAAAATTGAATAGTGTGATTCATATGGCATTAAATGAGAAATCTCACAAACACGTGAATTTCCTCAAGGGAGTCTAAAATGCCTCATCAGTGTAAAATATACCTCCTTTGAATGCTCGACACTAATGATTTTATCTTATAGATTAGATCGTCCGCAAAACGCGATTACTTTTTATGACCGCTGATCAGATGAAGATATGATCCTCATTTTAACACGTCTTTGTTGGAAGGATGAAAAAACTGATCGCACCGAGTTCATCATGATTAATTGCTAAATCAATTATGCTTGATTAATCCTTGACAATCTCAAAGATATCAATTAGATTAACCATTTATTTGCTATGCATCTGCATAGTGCAATCGCAATGCACCAGATGTATTAAGGCGTATGCTTTTGCAGATGAAAAATGATCCGAAAATTGCTTGAACATACGAATGCATTAAAGACAACAAAAACGTTCGTAATCCGTTTCATTACATAATCTCGCTTAAGAATTACTGTTCACAGAAAACAGAGGAAAAAATTCGTTGAGGACAAGTGCAGCGTCGCTTTTTTCCAGGCGTTACTCTTTTGAATAATCATAATCATAACGACGTATTACAAAGTATTTTTTTAGACGTTACAAATGTTTGCAGAGCACTGTTTTACACGAAAATGATTCTTGTTTATCAAACTTAATGACATCGTTAAGTTGAAAATGCTGGCAAGTCTAGGTTTAAGTCAAAAAAGAAGTAGGGAGGGAGTTCGCTTGAAGTATTTCTGTATCATAAAGGCGTACTTCAAGCGTAAGGCTATTGATTCTGAATGAATGAAATCTTGGAGTGAAACAGAAAATAGTTCAGAAAAATGATTTACTGAAAGGAATTCGTAATCGATCTAGATGAAAGGAATTCGTAACTGACTTTGATGGAACCTGGCTATATAATTGGGCAAGAACACTGATTCTTCCGCCACTGTTAGCTTCTAGCATAACAAAAGGTACGATGATTCAATCTAAAGATGTGTGGGTGTCTATTTCAAGCGTACAGTATCAAAAAACTAATCAAAAGCATTCAAGATTTGGAAGCATTTACGATCTGCGAGAAAAAAATAATTGCATCTGATTTTAAGCTAGAACGAATGGTCTGATTGATAAGTGTGCGTAGGTGAGAAAAATAAAAAGCATCAAGCATGTTGATATAGAAGAAGTGTCAGTCAATATCGATACTGATCGAGAGTTCATCGTATAAAAACATCAAAATTTCGCCAACACAATGTGAGATAATCAGTGCTATTCAATGAAAGCAGCACTAACGATTCCAACCAACTAACTGCTGATGAATGTGGGCTGTTCGTTGAATAATGAGCACAAAACATGAATAATGAATGACTACTATGATCGCAGCATGCTCAATACCCCATCACTACATATATCATTTGCCATATTCCAGTTTTGCGTTCAGTATAATTGAATAACACCGTTTTGCTGAATTTAGTCAATAAATTCACGCTGTAAACACAAACAATTCCGTCGCCCAAAAGAACACAAATAATGCTCGAGTTTTGCTATTTCCATCAATGGAACAGTAAATATAATATAATCATCCCATGTCTTTTGCAAACAGTAATTATTCGTCGATCTGCTAATACTTCATGAATGAACACACATTGAATATCATCTTACAACCATCTCCTTGAATGCTCTCATTTTGCCGTCTCTGCTTTACGTATCATAATGTTTATTGCAGCCACCGTTATTCATTGAATGTTCACTTAATCATCAAGGTAATTGCTCCTTCTGACGTGTTATGATGCATTCATTCTTCGAACATTTAATGTGTTTTCAAAACCATTTTATTATTTCATAAAACTGACTGCATTCTCAATTCCGTCCATGCTTCTTCGCCACTTTCTTTTCCAATTTTCCAATGGAATACACTGACACCAATCAATAGACAGATTTTTTCTCCAGCTTCCATCACAGCTTTCATCATCGAATTTCGTAACAGGAAAATAAATCAACAGCAATAAATTGTTGTCTGTTCGGCTCACAGATGTTGTGTTCTGCTTAGGATCCGAAACAGTCTCAATGAATGTCTAACAGAGTTTTTCAACCGGAGGAATACACTCTGGAACAGAGATATTCCGCACCACGATGCTCGCTCAAATCATTCGTTCCGTCGTTTATTATGCACATAAAGCTGTTCCAAAATATATTGAAAAAATTCATGACGAACGCCTTCTATCTCACGTTTTCCACACACTCAACCAGACAGTTTTTCCACCATTTTTCATCCATAAGCAATGCACAAATCACTTTGAAGAGTTGGAATTAACGCGTTGAAAGACGAATTTTATTGAGCATTTTGGTTTTATGCGGATTGAAAAAGAGGACACGTACTGGTATGTTATCACCGTAATAGCAATGATGAGGTGCTTACATAACATGTATCAACAACAAATTTTTCGAATAATCGATATTTTCAGATAATAAATTTTAGAAATGCCGAATCGATGAAAGGTTTTGTTTTTGGATAATATGATAAGATTTAGTCATCACAATGATGATGCGAACAAATCAAACATTCAACAAAAATGATCAACTGAACAATCACTGACAGAGCACAACCAGAGAGTTTTGCACCAGAAGAAAGATGATGAACGAACGATAGTCGTAATCAACCAATTACTGCGCTATTCTAAGTAAACTCGTGAAATTAGGTCTAACAAGTTTGGCACATAATATGATAAGATTTAGTCATCGCAATGATCACTATTTCACATCCTTAGCACAAAAGTTAAGTTTGTCTTGAAATACGATTGTGCACAGCAACAACAACAACACAGCTGCACGGTTGGTTGGCATTTCTCGTTGATGTGCTTGTATCTGAAACGAAGATGCCTCAGTGATGGAGAGACTGATTATGATGATGCTGACTGTCGTCATCATTAGACTCGACTGACTCTCGCCGGACGTACAAATATTGAACTACTGTCTTGAGAGGATCGACTCTGCGCCGAAGATGGAGGCGTTGCGGAAGGCGTGCTCGGACCAGTGTTAATGGGCGGCGGTAGAGTCCTACGTTTGGTGTTAGCTACGTTCGTCTTCAGACGTCTAGTTGGAGCTTCTGAAAAGTTTACCATAAGACTTTGGAAATTTCTTATTTGAACTCTTTTTGGTTCTCCAATCTCAGTGATAATCAGGTTCAAAAGTCTATGGGACACTATCGTTTGAATGCAATATCAATATTTTACAGTTTTTTTTTAAAAGTCAACAGTGCAGTTAAATTGCAGTTTTTTGAAATAATTCCGAATTCAAGCACTTTATAAAGAAGTTCATCAAAAGTACTTAACAATTTGTGATCAATGCATAAACTTCGTCAACTTTATTCAGCTGAATATCACCAGCAGCAATAAGTGGATTGGAATAATCATTTAACAGAGAGAGAGAAAAGGAGAGAGAGACTAAACGTAGAGCCCCACGGAAAAACCAACCATAATAATCACTTGAAATAAAGCCTTCGTTATCGATTCCCCCACATCCCGCACCGCTGAGCATATATTCTGAAAAGAAATACACCGAAACTATCGACAAGTATCTTTCGTTAATCTCGAGTAACTTATCAATCCCGAATGATCATCTCTATCAGTTTGGCTTTTAAGTCCCAACTGTTTCTGAATGAACTGTTTTGGAGAACGTCTTGTGTCAACATTTGATTTACAGATGGAATCATTTCATTTCATAAGGCTAAATGATGTGAAACTATATCACTGAATAACCATTGAAACATACCGCTATCCAGCCCTGTGGAAATCGTTTCGTTGGAAACGACACTATTCGCCGTACGTGATGAGCATGATGATGCAGCTTTCGATTCGATTTCTTCACGACTTGGCTGAAAAGAAATGGGAGCTGGAGATATAAACTCGTTCGCAGACGATTTCAGAAGGAAACTCGAGCCGATCAACCCACTCCATTTGATTTTCTTAAGCCAGTTCTTTGGGAGGAACATTGCAGCTTCGAAATTATAAACATTTGAAGAATTGAAATTTTAATCAAGCAAAAATACCGGTTGTTTGGGCCTTTCTTTTCTCAACGATCGAAGTATCGACGGACGACCTTGTGTTTTGGTCGACGGATTATCTGCAAGAAAAATAGGATGAAAATAATCCAATTCCAGGGCGCCATGTCACAGAATTGGATGTTATTTTGGGAGAACATTTTGGACTTCCTGCAAATTCCACTCCAATACATCTTTCAATCTTCTATCTACAAGTCAAATATCAGATGACATTTTGTAAAGCAGTCATCTCACTGCTATAATACCACAACCACAACAAAGACATTAACATTCTACCGCTCTTGTCGAATCGCACACTGCCACTGCGATCTGCACTTCCCGTTATGCTCATATTCGAATCAGTTGAAACATCGAAGTTCGAAGTTGTGGTCAGGGAAGGACACGATGGAGGGAACGGAGTATCATCCTAAACTGTCATTCATATCAGAACATCAATGTCACCATCATATCAGTAAGCAGGAAATGAATAATCGATCATATGATCACTAAAATTCCTATCAGTTCTGAGCGGCTTATCAGTGCACCTCATTAGACTTTGATAATAATCGAAATATCATATGCTAATAGATTCATCGTTACCTGATATGCCGGATTACCACGAAGAGCTTCAAGTTCAGGCAGAACATCAGCAAATCGAGGACGTTCTTCATAATCATAAATCCATGCCCGTTCGACAATTCGGAAGCTAGAAAACAATCGTTCAAATTTCCTTGGTGGAAGAATTGAGCTCCTTTTAGCTCATAACCCAATCGAACGGTACTCAGAATTCATGCACTATATCACACATGAGTTTCACTGGAACATCATATCTTTAATAGTTTTATCCAAACATCATATCTTCAGTGGCTGCAACTGACTTTTTCAATTAGTCAAAACATCTTTAATAGTTAGAAAATATAGCGGCAGGATCCATGAAATTACGATTATGAATCTACGATTTGCAATTTACGGATGGGATGAAAACTAACATTTCATCAGGACAGTATGGCGGTTTATCGAGTCGACCGCCACTTTTCACGAACGATATAACCTGAAAGCAATGAGTGATGAATGGCTATTGCTCAATACATTCCTTTCATAGGATCAATGAGTTCAGTTGATCATTTAAATTTAAATAAAACTATTCAATGTTCAAATCGCCCAACAAAGAACACGTCATAAACAATTTGACAAAAGACGAAGAAACCTGAACGTTTTGTTTGCCGATATATGGTTGTTGTCCCAACGTGAGAATCTCCCACAAGAGAACACCAAAAGACCAAACGTCACTTTTTGATGTGAAAACACCATCAGTGATCGATTCGGGTGCAAGCCATCGTAGCGGTAGAAAATCCTCACCGTGAACGCGATAGTAATCGTTTGTGTAGACGTCACGAGCCAGACCAAAATCAGCTAAAAACATCGTCACGTTCACCAAAGATAGATAATTTTTATCAGGCTGTAAAGAATATCGTCAGAACAAGTCGTCTTTATTTCGATTCACTAATTCAACGAAGTTACTGACAGCATGCTATCAACTGCAACCAGATCTCCGTAGGAAAGTGCAAACGTTGCCGAACACATAGATGGAATATGTTTCACGGTATCGTTTTTCAATAATAAAATTGCTCGCTCAAATAGGCATCAATTCGAAGAAATGCTCATCGTCAGCACAAAAAAGCGATCAATTCACAGTCGTCTGTCTTCCAGCCTACCATTATGACGATTGCGCCTGTCATAGCAACTCACCTATCTTGGTGACTCTGGCATGAGAATTCCTTGATGAGATGAGGCAGTTTCTGGCTGCCAGATCACGATGCACATGACGGTTTGCCTCCAAATAACTTCCACCACGTCCCACATCCACCATCATATCGATCAGTTCACAGAGCGACAACTGCGATGGCAAGCAATCAGATGGACGGCTGTAATATTACGAGGTGACTGATGACTTGATGCGGAATGAAACTGAGAGGAGCACCAAAGCTCTCGTGATGAACGAAGATGAAGTGTATGGCTTATCAGCAAAAAAAAATACCTGGAGCGCAGAAATCCCAACAGATCGCCGCCTTCCATGAGTTCAATTATTAGATAGTATGGCTCACTCTCCAGTGACACACCCATCAACTTTACGATATTCGGATGATCGAAATTGCTGAAAAAGGCGATTCTTATTAATTTTGCGTTGAGATAGAATCGTAGATTTCTGAACAATTACATGAATTTCTAGTGAGTGTTCAGTAACAACCTCAAGCGGAAGAGAGATAATTTTATAAATTGCACACATTAGCAGTGAAAAATTCAGAAACATAAGAAAATGACGATAACGAACTTCATCAGAATGGCTTCCTTCAGGAACTTCAAACGATCCGTCTCAGAGTATCCATTCTTCAAAGTCTGAAAATGGAATTTCAACTCGTTATTTATACTCTTTGGATGGAAAACTATTCTTTGGGTAGAATATGCATGGTGAATTTTTTTGATGTTATTCACTGTAAGAGAAGATAACGGTAACTGCCTACTTTAATCGCAACTCGGACT